GAAAGCTTAAGATCAAACTTGTATCGGTTTGATCCAAAGCTTTCCCTTGCAAACAAATGTCCGAAACCGGAAGTGACGAAATACTTGTCGCTTCTGATTTCGTACACCATAGAGATGATTGAGAATGATCTGGGATAAAAAAAAAACAATACTAGGACGATGCGTGTAGCTGCATGCATCATCCTGGTATACCACTTGAAACCGGCAATGTACAGTGCATCCAGAAAGTATTCACAGAGCTTAACTTTTGCCACATTTTGTTATGTTGCAGCCTTATTCCAAAATGGATTAAATTCATTTTTTTCATCAACATTCTACAAACAATATCCCATAATGACAACGTGAAAGATGTTCATTTTGAAATCTTTGCAATTTATTAAAGATAAAAAAATTAAAAAAATCACATGTACATAAGTTTTCACAGCCTTTACTCAATACTTTGTTGAAGCACCTTTAGCACCAATTACAGCCTCAAGTCGTTTTGAGTATGATGCTACAAGCTTGGCACACCTATATTTGGGCAATTTCTCCCATTCTTCTTTGCAGTACCTCTCAAGCACCATCAGGTTGGATGGGGAGCGTCGGTGCACAATCATTTTCAGATTTCTCCAGAGATGTTCAATCGGGTTCAAGTCTGGGCTCTGGCTGGGCCACTCCAGGAGATTCACAGAGTTGGCCCGTAGCCACTCCTTTGTTATGCGGGCTGTGTGCTTAGGGTCATTGTCCTGTTCAAAGATGAACCGTTGCCCCAGTCTAAGGTCCAGAGCCCTCTGGAACAGGTTTTCATCAAGGATGTCTCTGTGCATTGCTGCATTCATCTTTCCTTCGATCCTGACTAGTCTCCCAGTTCCTGCCGCTGAAAAACATCCCCACAGCATGATGCTGCCACCACCATGCTTCACTGTAGGGATGGTATTGGCCATGTGGTGAGCGGTGCCTGGTTTCCTCCAGACATCATGCTTGGCATTCAGGCCAAAGAGTTCAATCTTTGTTACATCAGACCAGAAAGTTTTGTTTCTCTTGGTCTGAGAGTCCCTCAGGGGCCTTTTGGCAAACTCCAGGCAGGCTGCCATTTGCCTTTTACTGAAGAGTGGCTTCCGTCTGGCCACTCTACTATACAGGCCTGATTGGTGGAGTGCTGCAGAGATGGTTGTTCATCTGGAAGGTTCTCCTCTCTCCACAGAGAAATGCTGGAGCTCTTTCAGAGTGACCACCGGATGCTTGGTTACCTCCCTGGCTAAGGCCCTTCTCCCTCGATCGCTCATTTTGGCTGAACGGCCCACTCTAGGAAGATTCCTGGTGGTTCCAAACTTCTTCCATTTACGCATGATGGAGGCCACTGTGGTCATTGGGACCTTCAATGCTGCAGAAATTTTTCTTCCCAGATCTGTGCCTTGATACAATCCTGTCTCGGAGGTCTATGGACAATTCCTTGGACGTCATGGCTTGGTTTGTGCTCTGACATGCATTGTTAACTGTGGGACCTTATATAGAAAGGTTTATGTTTCCACATCCAATCAAGATGTGGAAACATCTTAAGGATGATCAGTGGGAACAGGATGCACCAGAGCACAATTTTGAGTGTCATGGCAAAGGCTGTGAATACTTATGTACGTGGTTTAATTTTCGTTTTTTATTTTGAATAAATTGCAAAGATTTCAAAACAAACTTTTTTCACGTAGAATGTTGAGGAAAAAAATTAATTTAATCAATTTTGGAATAAGGCTGTAACATAACAAAATGTGGCAAATGTTAAGCGCTGTGAATACTTTCTGGATGCACTGTATATATACGTATTGTGGTCTTCAAGTGGTTAAAGACACACAGAGTTCCAACAGATACCTTGAGGTTTGTTTTCCACATTTGCCAAGTGTAGAGCAGCCCATTGAAATTAATGAGCTGCCATATGCGCGAAGCCATGCGTAAATGCAACATGCTAAATAGTGTGAATAGGGACTTGCTCCTTCTCACAGTGACAGGCAGCTGAAATCGATGTACTTCCTCTATAGTTGATATCTTATCTCAAAAGTTGTTAAGCCAATACATTAAAACAAGCAGGAAAGAACATGTGAAGTAACAAAGTACTTGCTTGCCCACTGCTCTATAGCAGAAATACTGCTACAGGGTGGCAGGGCTGTGCAAAATTACTTAATATAAATATGTGTGTGTGTGTGATTTTGCATTTCCAGGTAGGGGGTGCGCGGGCGCCTTTCCTGCGCCGCTGTTGACGGCTTCAGCTGTCAATCACCGGGTCCTGGCCTGTGATGCCCCACTGGCAATCGTAGAGTATCACTGACAGGGGAGAGGTCTGTGTATAAACAATACAGTTCTCTCCCCTGTTAGCTCCAGCATGCCGCTTTGTATTGCTCTGCATAGCAGAGTAATACAAAGCAATGTGCTTACAGTGTAAAACACACTGATTTCCCCAGATGTTAACCCCTTCCTGCCCAGTGTCATTAGTACAGTGTCAGTGCTTTTTATTAGCACTGATCACTGTATTAGTGTCACTGGGGATGTCAGTGACAGTCCCTTCCCCACACCACCCCCTGCCATTGTCTGAATGCCCACTGTAGTCCCGCTAGAAATCACTGATCGCCACCATTACTAGTATTAAAAAAAAAAAAAAAAAACTTCCAGTGTATATATACCGCCATTTATAGACGCTATAACTTTCATATAAACCAATTAATTTACACATATCAGGATTTTTTTTTAGCAAAGACATGTAGCAGAATACATTTTGGCCTAAATTTATGACAAAATTTGATTTTTTAAAAATTTTCTTTACTGGACAAAAAGTCAAAATATTGTTTTGGTTTTTTTTCTCAAAGTTGTTTTTTGTTTAAAAATAAAAAACACAGAGGCGATCAAATACCTCCAAAATAAAGCTCAATTTGTGGGAAAAAAGGACATAAATTTCATTTGAGTGCAGTGTTGCATGACCGCGCAATTGTCAGTTAAATTAACGCAGCACGGTGTCGCAAAAAAATGGCTTGGTCAGGAAATGAGTAAATCTTCTGGAGGGCAAGTGGTTAATGTTTGCACTTGCTGGTGACTGGTGTGATGTGTACTTCTGTGCACGTATGCAAAGTACCAGTTAGGGACCAATAGGAGGTTTTCACTTCACTGAAATGTATACATTTGATTATAATGATATAACTGGATATTTCTGAAAGAGGTGCATTAGTATGTTTGAGAAAAAATAAAAGGCAGCAGCTACAGAAACTGTAGCTGCTGACTTTTAATAAAAGGACACTCGCCTGCCTAGGGATTAGATCCAACACTGTCCTCACCCAGGCCAGTTCTTCTCCAGTCTTTGGGTCCTGGTGCTGGCATGTTCACTATGGTAAGTCGGCTGTCATTCCCTGTGGCTTCATAGCCGGCTTCCCACTGCACATGTGTTGAGCCATGCTGCATTCTGTGAATGGTTCCTAGCCTTCTAGGACCTATGACATGCCCCAGAAGATTGCGAGAGGGAGGACTTTCGACCAGAAGTAGTTACCTGTTAAAATCAGGGTGAAGTTTCACTTTAATAATTGTCAGGATATGAAAGTGTATTAACCACTTGCCCTCCTTAGGATTTACCCACCTTCCTGACCAGGCCATGTTTTGCGATACCGTGCTGTGTTAATTTAACTGACAATTGTACGGTTATGCAACACTGCACCCAAATTAAATGTTTGTTCTTTTTTTCCCATGAATTGAGCTTTCTTTCTATGGTATTTGATCGCCTGTGTGTTTTTTTTTATTTTTGTGCTATAAAAAAAAAAAGACCGACAATTTTAAGAAAAACAATATTTTAGACTTTTTGCTATTAAACATGTCCAGTAAAAAAATTTAAAAAATATTTGTCATAAATTTAGTCCAAAATGTATTCTGCTACATGTCTTTGCTCAAACAAAATCCCAATAAGTGTAAATTAATTAGTTTACGTGAAAGTTATAGCATTTACAAATGGCGGTATATATATTTGGAATTTTTTTTAAATTATTTTTACTAGTAATGGCAGCGATCAGCGACTTATAGCGGACATTCTGACACTGGGGGGGACTGACTTGTTGTCACTGACATCCCCAGTGAAACCAATACAGTGATCTGTTGCTAAAAAAAAAAAAAAGCACTGGCACTGAGCAGAAAGGGGTTAAAATGAAGGGCGATCAAAGGGTTAACTGTGTGCTGTGTGTGTTTTTACTGTGGGGTGGTGTCTGTGTGCTTCCCTGTAAGCTCACTGCTTTGGATGGCTGTGCTGTACACAGCCATCCAAAGCAGTGTGCCCGCGCTGACAGGGAGGAAAACTGTTTGTAAACAAAACAGTTCTCCTCCCCGTCGGAGATCCTCGGTAATCACCAGCCGGTGATTGACAGGCGCAAATGGCAGCGTGGGTAGGGCACGCACACCACCTACTCGGAAATGCAAAATCACGTATCTTTACGTGATTTCTGCTATAGGGTGGTCAGGAAGCAGTTAAAGTGATTTAAAGCCTAAAGATTTTTTTTTTTTTTTTACCTTAATGCATTCTATACATTAAAGCAAAAACCTTCTGTGTCCAGAATCCCCCCTCACCCCCTTTATACTTACCTTAGCCTATTTTGATCAAGCACTGTTCATGAAAGTAGTGGCTCACTCCCTCCTCACTGGGCAGATAGATAACAGCGGGAGCGATTGGTTCTCAATGCTGTCAGCCATATTCTGTGATGAAGGGGCAGGGCCTTGCCATTCCGTTTGTGTAAGTAGACACAAACACGGCACCCCCCCGGGAGCGAGCCAGGATGCATGTCCCAATGGAAAATCACTGCACAGTGCAATGACGTGTTTTTATTTTATTTAAAAAATTAAGCGTTACTATCATTTTAAGTGTTGGAATTAGATACAGTTAGCAGTTCCATTGAGTTATAATATAACTATGTTCCTCGTTTTTCTTGATTAAAATTTTTTGATGAAAAATAAACTTTTGAAGTAATGTACTTAATGTCAGTTGTTTTCTATTATCACTTGCAGGAATTATAGATTTATCTCAAGTGCCACTGCCTGTCCTAATACCTCAGTCTGCAGGCTCCTCATCTGCCACCATAGACCGCATCACATACATCTCTGGAAACCCACAAGCATTTAGCAGTCGGCTCAGTAGCTCTCCTTTATCTCCAGGTAACTACAAGAACATTGAAACATGCAGTCACACAGTACACACAAAGTCACAGCAACAGTGGTTTGTTGCAACATAGTTGGTAGAGTTGAATAAAGACATTAGTCCATCCAGTTCAGTGTGTGTGTGTGTTGTGTGTGTGTGTGTGTGTGTGTACCATTTTCAATATACCTGTACATTGTGTTTGCTAAGAAACATATCTAAAAGGGGTTTTTTAATTTTATATACACTCCCCTCTGACACCAACTGTGGAAGAGAGTTCCACATCTTTACTGCTGTAACAGTAAAGAACCCCTATGCAGTGTAAGAGTAAACCACTCTTTGTTCAACTTCATTGTTTTTTTGTATTTTTTTTTCTGTCATGCTTCTGGTCAGTTTCTAACTTATCCTAAAATTGTTAACTGAAATATGGTTTTTATTGCATCTACAAGCAGTCCCATTTTCTTTGCTCTGGTTTGTATATGGAAGTATTAATTTGTTATATTTTTTATATTACAGTATAGGGTTGAGTAAAATAACTGGTATCCCCTATTTTGATATTGATTTATTAAATCGTAACACTAGCTTGTCATTTATACCTATATAATATTATATGTGTGTGTGTGTGTGTGTGTGTGTGTGTGTGTGTGTGTGTGTGTGTGTGTGTGTGTGTGTGTCATTCTTTGGTTATCAGGTAGGTCAATGAAAAAGGAAGAATTATAGATTTTCAGGTGAAAAATGAAGGAGCATGGCTGCTGTGATGGACCGCCTGGCACCTCTCCTGGTTGCTTCCATCAGAGGACTGCTTCCTCGCTACTAGAGCACAGGACCAAAGTATTCTAGCTGGGAAGTGCACCCAAAACTAGACAACACTAGCCTAGGTGCAAACAGGAACTGCTTTATTGAACAGAAATACTTCAAAAATAGGAGCAGCCCCCACATGAACAATAAAAGCAAATATTACACATTGTGATAAACATCTCACAATGATTAGCTAAGGAGGTAAAGTTGACAGAAGACCCATCATGTAGGAACCTCCAGGAGGATTAAAAAACAGACAGAAACAATAGGTGACTCAGTCAACAATGGAAGAAACACACAACTGTAAACAAATAACACCTTAATAAACAGATTACAGCAGGAGACCTCAGCATCAGGTTGTTTTGAACTGATTACCGTATTTGCCAGCATATAAGGCGACTGGGTGTATAAGACGACCCCCTAATTTTCCAGTTAAAACATAGGTTTTGGGCTATACTCGCCGTATGAGACTACCCCACTTCCGAGGCAACACCATTTAAAAACATCAGATTTGAATAAACATCAGATTTGATTAAATATAAACCCACTAATCTGTCAGCCCGCTGGATGTGTGGTAATACTGTATGTACGGTAGCTTCAGCTACATACAGTAGACCGCGCTGAGCCAAGCTGACTCAAAATGAACGTCCCTAATCTGTCAGCCCGCTGGATGTGCGTTAATATTGTATATACGGTAGCTTTGGCTACATATAGTATAGAGTTACACAGTATACCGCGCTGAGCCAAGCTGGTTCAAAACAATTGTCCCTATGGTAATCTGTCAGCCCGCTGCATGTGCGGTAATACCGTATGTACGGTAGCCGGGGCTACATACAGTATACCGCGCTGAGCCAATCACGATGAGAGATGTATTCTATTAATGAATGCGAGTCAGAGAGGCAGGCTGATGATGTCACAACCTCAGCCAATCCGTGCAGGCTTTGTATTCATTAATAGAATACATCGCTCGCTGTCATTGACTCAGCACGGTATACTGTATGTAGCCAAAGCTACCGTACATACAGTATTGCCGCACATCCAGCGGGCTGACAGATTAGGGACAAAGCTTGGCCCAAACGAACTAAAGGTTCACATTGTATATCCCACGTATAAGATGACCCCCGTTTTTTGGGGTATGTTTTTAAGTATAAAAAGTCATCTTATACGCCAGAAAATACAGTATATTAACATCTGCTTTGAGTCTAGGAGGGACACAAAGGCCCCAAATCTGTATCCTGGTCCTCCATTTCTCAGAGTCTGTGTGTTGTGGGGAGAAATGGATTTGAATACAAAGTAAAACTACTCCAAAAGTTCCACCAGGCACATACCTGCTAAAGAATAGAGCCCCCTCAAATGCCAGGGCCCATAACCAGTAGGCAAGAGGCTAGCCTGCAGTCGCCTCCAAAAGACCCTGTCCAAAAGGTCTGTCACAGTTGCTTTATAGCAAAAAAAAGGTATCAGTTAGTCTTTTGAAATCACTTCAGTCACTTGTTTGCCCACCTGAGATCATAAAATGTAGGTTCTCTAACAAAGTTTTCTTCTATCGAAGAACACTGGAAGTCTTTAACCTTCTGAATATCTTGCTGCCTACACTGGGACTGGACACAGGCAAATGAAAAAATGTAGGCCTACCCAGGATAACCCTCCTACTATCAGCATGGTTTTTGCTTGTGTCCTAGCAGGATGGACATATTTTCTTCAGCTCTAGTGTTGAGACCAACTTTTTGCCAGCAGTTTTTTTCCTTAATTTTTTTTTTTTGCAATCAAGAATCTTCTCTACATTACTGCTGGAGTGTAACCTGTTTGATTGTAGCTTTCCAGTGCAGTCAATTTCAACTTGGCTTTTATAGTACCATGTCTGGGCTCCACTGGATTTGATGCAGGGAAAGCTTAAAAATAGGGCAGTGGACTCCTCACAGGGCACTTTTCATACTGCATTCTGGTAAAAATGAACTGCAAAGGGTTTTCCAGGTTTAGAGCCATTGGCATTGCCTCAGAGCTTGCTGTGAAGACCCAATTAGTTAGTAGATTGGTTGAGCCGAGTACCAGGTGCTACCTCAATTATTAGGTCTATGGGCTTCTTTAATCCCCCTCGCTGCTAGTTTTGCAACAGAATAGGTTGACTCTGTGGGACTAATGTCATCTGTTGTGTGAAGTGTCACACATGAGTGGCCTGTGCTCTCTTTTCGAGGGAGATTCTCTGCGTTTTTATCGCTGCTGGCCAAGAGCCACGTGTAACTTATATCTTTGATACATTCCTGTTGCCCACTGACTTTGGTTATCTCCAGCCATCAGACCCTCACCTGCTTCAAGTTGTCTAGGGTTCACAAGTATCTGAGGCCATGTCTGGTACTCTGAGCCTATACATTCCTGTGCAGCTATAAAGTCACAAGATTTCTGATTGTAGACACAAATGCACAGTCCTGTCATTGTGGTTGCCCCATCTCACATTCTGCTAATGGTTGTGGGGATGTTTGCAGTGCCCTTGGTGGTGCCAATGGATGCAGCCTGGAATGATAATCTCCTCTGATCTAGATTCTATTTTGTCCTCAGAGGTTGACCCCTCGCTTATAGTGTGTGGAACAGATGGCTGTAATGCTTTTCTTAAAGCCTCCCATCTTATTTTTTGCTTGCTGGTCTGTGGAACCCTTGCGTAGAATGCATGTGATCCGCAGAGCCTCGAGGGACACCATCTCTTTAGACTAGCTCAGGACAATAGCATCGATGATGCTATTGGCGAAACCCATCTTCTCAGTGGATTTTAACTCTCTGCTACTTACTCAGTTTCTCACCTCCAATTTTTCCAGTGTCTCTGCACAGATTAACAGACACCTGTTGAGCCCTCTCAGTTCTTCTGTTTCAAGGTGTCACTGTTTCAGTTTCTGTGACAGAACAGTTCTAATGATTTTAAACCAATCCTTTCTTTGTGCCTAAGCCCAAAGAAGGCATTTGCCACATTCTGGATCTCAAAATTCTGACTGTATTTATTTGAATCCAAAAATTCTGCATGCAATCTACCAAATCTGTCATTGCCTCCCTTCACCAGGGGGACTTTCTGGCTTCTTTGAATATCAAATATGTTTTCTTACCTGTCCCCATCTTTCCAATGCATCAGTTTCTCTGTTTTGCCATGGAGCCCCTATTTTGCTAGTTTTTGGCTCTGCATTTCAGCCTCTTGTCTTCACCTTTGGTATTCACCATAGTGCTGGACAATATTCATGCCCTGCTCTTTTCTGGTGCATCCCATAGGATACCTAGATGACCTCCTGTTGAGGGAACAATTGGCACATGTTGGACAACATGAAACTGACCACTCAGACATTACAGCCATTCAGATGGATCCTGAACCTTCAGAAATTGTTGATTTTGTTGTCCAAACTCTCCAATCCAGGAGTTGCCTGGCTTCATCTAAAATTCTGCTTAAGAGCCCCAGTTCTGATGGTAACCACTTTCGATAGAGTCCCATTTGTTTCCTTTCACATTGGAGCTCTAAAATGCAAAATTCTGTCGTGATGGGACCCGGCAATCCAGTCTCTGAACGGATCAATTTGTCTTTCACTGAGGACTGGGTTTTCCTTGGCCTGGTGGTTCACGAATCTGACTCTGGAGTAATGGAAGTCTTGCCTTCCCATCTTTTGGTGCATCCTCACAATGGACGGATGAGCACCATGTTAGTGTGTCAAGTGGTCAACATTTTGGAACTTTGGGTGAATCGTCTGTATCTTCAGCACTGGATCATCTTACTGGAGAGTATTCCGATCTGGATTCAGTTAGACATTGCCAGTGTAGACAATCTCTGAATCTGTAATTACTACAATGTGAATATTGTAAATATTGGGGCCTCCACCCAAGAATTGTTTTGTGAGATGAATTATTTCCTACATATAGCTGGATGAAGGAAGTCTGGACCAGTGTCTAGCGCTGAGCATTTTTCAAGGCTCAGGCTTCTTATTCAGTTTAGAGATGGTGGCCTCTCGCTGTCTGATTAAGTCCTTTTTCAGGGGGTTTTGCATTTAGTCTCTCCTCAACGCTCCCCACTTGTCCATTCCCCTGTGACTCCATAGGATTTTCATCTGGTTCTTGCTGCACTTCAGAACCCATTAGAGACTTTTCTTTCACTGTCTTCACCCCCAAGTTGGTGTTCCTTGTAGCAATCTCCTCTGCAAGGCAAGTGTCTGAACTGGCAATCCTATCCCACAAGAAACCTTTTCTGGTTCTGCATAGGGACAAGCTGTTGTGGAGGCTTTTGAATTCTATTGAGGGACACAGATCCCATCCTTTTGTGTTTTTGTTTGTAAACCTGCTCTTGGTATTGCTTTGCTACAAAACTGAGGCTTGCTAGTAGTAAGAGGGGTTTCCTGGGCTTACCTTTTTTGTTTGCCAATGTCTTAGCCTCCTCTAGGCAGCAGTGTAACCTAAAGGTTGGAGACTTCTCATTTCTCTCAATGGATTCTAAGAAAAACATTTAATGTGAAAATTCTATTTTACTGTGTGTGCTTTTTAGTTATTCGTTTACAAGAATTACATTTCTATTACAGCAACAACCACGCATATGACCAAGCAGACCTCAACAAACTCTGAACGTGAAAGAGAAAAATCAGTTCTTACAACGACAATAGAACACGCGCCAATATGGAGGCCAGGTAAGTACTCTTTTATGTTATTTTATCTGTTCTATTCTTTACTGTGACAATAGCTCTATTAGTGAGTTTGCATACGTCATATCAATGAATGCTGCAAATAAGCCTACAGATGTAGTCTGTGTCTTTTTAGGTACAGAACAAAGCAGTGGACGGTTGTCGACACAAAGTCACAGCCACCAGCACTCTCCAGCGTCCCCACGGACACATGAAAATATTCAGCAACGTCCCAGCGTTCTTCATAACACGGGTATGAAAAATCTCATGACCAGTGGAGAAAGCATCACTCCATCTGTATTACGGTAAGGAGCATTATTGGCAGAGTGCATTGGGAATGTAGGTGTTTAAAGTGAACCTTTTGTCTACTGTGCAGTGTGGTAGAAAGAGATGTCAGTGAATTGTAGGATGATGGAGGTATGATCAGAGCTTTGAGTCCAGTACTTGCTGTACGGCTGCTGGGTAAAAGGTTGGTAGAAAAGGATCAGTGGAGCAAAAAGTTTTGCCTTTAGTTATACTTTGAAAATCAGGAAACTGTATTTTCTTACTTGCACACGGGTGTCATAGTTTACTGTTTACTTAGGAACTTGTGATACCTGTGTGCAAGGGGAAAAAACTATGTAAAGACCTGAGTAATGTTGCATATAGGCAAGTAAAGGTGTGTAAGCGTATAGACGAGTAACCTTCTTTATTGCCGGAAATGTGATACTCATTTACACTCGAGGAAACACTTTAATTACTTTACTCAATTTAAGTGTTTCTATTTTTGTTTTACTGCTCTGTACTCCACACAGTATTACTGATCCTTACTCAGCTGTGTGCAATGTCCCATAGACAGCAATGCATCACATTTCAGATCAGTAAAAAAAAAAATGTGATTTTTTTTTTTTTTTTTTTTTTAGTCCTGTGTGCAATAGGCCTTACAGTACGTCTCCAGTGCAATAGTTTACTTGAATGTGTTAGGAGAGTTCTGGGGCTGAGCGCAGTTTCTCATTCTCCAAGGTCTTTTAGATATCAGAAAAATGGTAGACTCTGGGCTGTATGCCAGCATACTGGAATACCAAGGTCCAGGCCACAGATTCAGAAAATTCTGTCTTTCTAGTAAAGGTGAATATAAATCAGAGACAAAACTCATTTTTCTCTTTGTGAAAAGGTAGAGTGCAAAGACACTTTCCGTGAAAAATATTCTAAAATATATATATATATTTTTTTTTTTTTTAAGCAGCACACATTAACCCTTGCTAGGCACACTCTTAACACCTTGATTACAGCGAGATGTTAACCCCATCCCAGCCAGTGTCATTAGTACAGTGACAGTATAGAATATTAGCACTGATCACTCTTAGTGTCACTAGTGATGTCAGTGTCAGTTCCCACCCAGTATAAGTTGGTGTCACATTGCACTATCACAGTCCCAATATAGGTCTCTGATCACAACACAACTGCATTTTTTTTACCAAACACATGTAGAAGAATACATTTTAACCTACATTTATGAATAAACTTGATAACTTTTTTTTCTCTTTTTGGATTGGATATGTTTTATAGCAGAAAGTAAAAAAAAAATGTTTTGGGGTTTTTTTTGTTTTTTTTTTTTCTGTTTCATGTTTATGTGAAAAAATTTAATTAAAAAATGTGTTATTCAAATACCACCAACAGAAAGCTCTATTTGTGTGAATAAAATTATATATAGTTCATTGAGGTGCAGTGTTGCATGACCACACAATTACCAGTTAAAGTAGCGCAGTGCCAAATAGCAAAACATGGCCTGGTCATGAAGGGGGGATTAAACCTTCCGGAGCTAAAGTGGTTAAAGTAAATGGCTTGTTTTTTTCCTTTTAGAACATCCTCCAGCTCTTCACCTATTCGGTCCTCTGCACAGTTATCCTCTTCGTCTATGCGATCTGCCAGTGAAAGAGAGAGTTACCAGTCTGCAGAAAATGCTATGCTTCAGAAAGATATTGCAAGGACACGAGAAGCCAAAATTGATCGCTCAAGAACTGAAAACTTTTACAATTCAAAGCTGCCACCAGCAGCCATTGAACAGACATCACCAGTTACGAACATGGAGTCCAGGCCTCACCCATCAGCTGTGGTTAATTCAGCTCACCAGTATAACAACGGACAGGGGAAAAGTCAACCTCACCAGCCCCTGGACCAGACAGCAGTGCCAGCCAGTGAGCAGCACAATAGGGACAAGACCCAAAATAAACCCTTTTCCATGCAGGAACAGGAGCTCCGATCACTCGGTAAGACCACCATGACCGCGGCCAACTTCATAGACGCCATTATCATGCGTCAAATTTCTTGTGATAACGGGAAGCGAGAAAGACCCTCGCTAAATACCAACGCCAGTAGTGATGGTAAGACACATGGGAGCAGGTAGTTCCAAGCTTGTAGCCTATTTATATTCTTTATTCATATTTTATATTTATATACATATATATAAATATACTGTATACATTTAAAACTCTTCTATAAATATGTTATTTATATATATAGTATATATATATAAATTTTTTTGTTTTTGCTTTTGGTTTTTAATGCACGTACAAGTGATTGGCTTTTTTCAGCTTCCCAGTTTGTTTGTTTTTTTTCCCGCACAAATCATCTGTCTCTGACTATTAATTTACTTAGTCCATTAATATTTTTTGTGTGAGGAATAATTTTGTTCTTTTTGTGTTCAATTTGTGCTTGGCTGGCCTTGTAAAGTTTAAATTGTGGTGTTTTAATTCCAAGTCTTTGAAACCGCTTTGGGGAATACACTCCTTGCTGCATTGTGTTGTGGCCCCCTGAGAGAATAAGGGTTTTTTTTTTTTAATAAGTTTAAAACATGTTCTGCAGTTTTAAATCTAGAGCCATCCCTATGATATACTTCATACGTTGTTACAAATTCATGCATCTATTGCAATAGTACAGATATGGATTCAAATGATCTGCCTTTTAAATTAGATTATAGAAATCCAGAGGCAGCCCGCAATAAATTGTTAACAATTGCAGCAAACTCTTAGTAATTTTCTGAATTGTGTAGTAGCATCTGCTGTAATGTATGGGCCAGCTTTACCGTTTAAGGTGTGTTGAGAATTTAGGGTTTATGTAGACAGGCTTTTTTTTTTTTTACATCAGAGCTTGCTTCTAACCCCACTCAAATCAATGCAAAAGCAGCTAGAAGCAGGTTGATGCAGCCTAAACAGTTGTCAAAAATAGGGCAGAAACAGGTCAACTTCAGGTTAAATGCACCTGTTAACTCACGCTGAATTATCTCAGAAACATCTAAAACTATTCTCAAATGCAAGTAGAATGCACCTGGAAGTAAGCTGCAATAGCTCATTGACCAAAACCTGTCAACAAAGGTCCTTTTTGAATTATCCATTTCTTAATAAACTTAGATGGTCTCAGTAGATTCGTCATACATTATCTTGCAAGGGTTTGGTCTGCAATCAGAAAATCCTGTTTCAGGAGAAGAAAGGGTGAAAATGGATTTCCGTTAGGGAAGGATAATGTGAGGGATGGTGTCATAGAAAAGGGAAGGGTTACAGTAAAGGTTAGTGTTCGGGATACAGGCAGGGGCGTATTTGCCACAAGGCAAACACGGCGTTTGCCTAGGGCAGCACTTTTCCGGGGGGCGGACTGGCGATGGCCCCACCCCCCTTTCCCATGGAAAGGACACTTACGTGGGAAAGGGACAGGGGCTGCTGTGTCTTACCTGTCTCCGCAGCTCCGTGTCCCACTTCAATCCGGTCTACGAGGAGCTGCTGGAGGAGGAGTAGAGAGGGTGTCCATCCGGTGCCTTCATCTCCGTAGATCTTGGATCGCGATGTGGGCGGGATGACATGCCGCCCCTCTCACCTGGCCACACACCCAGGATCACTGGGCAGCCTATGACAGCCTGTTCCTCCCTCTCCAAGCTCCGCCTCCTCTCCGGCGATTGGCCGCCGGATCTGTAGCTCAGGGAAAGCACACAGGCGGCCAATCATCGGTGAGGAAGCAGAGCTTGGAGAGGAGGAGCCGAGCGGCAGCATGATGATCAAAGTAGCTGATTGGAGTGAGGGACCAGACTGAGCTGGTGAAGAGAAGGAGAGCGGCCGGAGAAGGAAGACAGCTGATCGGCAAAGTAAGTGTCTGTGCGGCCGGGATCTGGGCAGAGCAGATGGTGCTGCTGCAGCCAGGTATGCTGGCTGTGGATGGGAGAGGGAGGAGCCCAGGCTGAAACAGGGGTCAGCAATATAAACATCATTGGTGTCAGTGGGAGTAATAATGCCCCATCATTAGTGTCAGTGTGGGAGGAATAGTGCCCTATCATTGGTGTCACTGACACCAATGATGGGGCACAATTCCTTCCACTGACACCAATGATGGGGCACAATTCCTTCCACTGACACCAATGATGGGGCACTATTACTCCCTCCGACACCAATGATGGGGCACTATTACTCCCTCCGACACCAATGATGGGGCACAATTCCTTCCACTGACACCAATGATGGGGCACTATTACTCCCTCCGACACCAATGACACTATTCCTTCCAATGATGATGGGCACTATTCCTTCCACTGACACCAATGATGGGACACTATTCCTCCCACTGACACCAATGATGGGGCACTATTCCTTCCACTGACACCAATGAATGGGGCACTATTTCTCCAGATGATTCCAATAATGGAATAAAATAAGAGGTGGAGCTCTAATAGGAAGAGGTGGAGCCTAAAGAGGAAGGATCTTAAACAGGAAGGGGTGGGATGAATTTAGATAGGAGGGGTGCCCGATTTTAGTCTTGCCTAGGGCAGCACAAAACCAAAATACACCACTGGATACAGGTAGGGTTATTGTGAGGACCGGGAGTACAGGGGTCCTGCATTGTATTGACACCGAGGGCCTGTCCACAGCCCAGAGCACTGGGGAAAGGAGGGAACTGGAAAGAGCCTGCTGCCAGAGGGTCAAGGGGTAAAGTAATTAAACTGCTATTTTAATTTACCCTATACAAAAACAGACATTTAAACCTTACAGTGCACAATGAGTTTTAAGATTTCAGGGGAGCTTTTGAGTTAGTATTACTGGAAGACAGCAATAATAATCAAGCCAACACACCAGCAAATTCTCGCAAACAGTCTCCAGTAAAGCAGGACTGTTTACTTTTATTCACAGGTGTCCTGGCTTTATCTTATTATTATTATTATACAGGATTTATATAGCGCCAACAGTTTGGCCAACGTTTTACAATATAACAGGAGACAATACAGCAACAATACAGTTCAATACAAGAGGGATAGGAGGGCTCTGTTCCTTGGAGCTTACAATCTAGGAGGGAGGGGCTAGTGGTAGTAACTGTGGGGGATGAACTGGTAGGAAGAGTAGAAGATTCCACTATTAGCTGAGGGCAGGATAGGCTTCCCTGAAGAGATAGGTTTTCAGAGATCACCTAAAAGTGAGCAGAGTAGGCGATAGTCTGATAAATTGGGGTAGAGCGTTCCAGAGGATGGGGGAAGCTATGGAGAAGTCCTAGAGACGAGCATGGGAGGAGGAGACAAGGGAGCTAGAGAGCAGGAGGTCGTGCGAGGAGCGGAGAGTACGGTTTGGGTGATATTTGGAGACAAGATTGCTGATGTAATTTGGGGCAGAGTTATAAATGGCTTTATATGTTATTGTTATGAATTTTATCCGTTGGGCAACGGGAAGCCAGTGGAGGGATTGGCAGAGAGGGGTGGCAGATACAGAACTGTTAGTAAGGTGGATGAGTCTGGCAGCAGCATTCATGATGGACTGAAGAGGGGATAGTCTGCGATAAGGTAGGCCAATGAGGAGGGAGTTACAATAGTCAAGACGAGAGATAACAAGGGAGTGGATAAGTTGCTTAGTAGTTTCCGAGGTTAAGAATGGGCGTATCTTGGAGATGTTGCGGAGGTGAAGTCTACAAGATTTGGACAGCGATTGGATTTGGGGCTGAAAGGACAGATGGGAGTCCAGGATTACACCTAGTACCCTGGCATGAGGGGAGGGACTGATGGTTATATTATTGATCTTGAAGGAGAAGTCAGGGGAGGGGGCACAGGCTGGAGGGAATATTAAGAGCTCAGTTTTGGAAAGATTGAGTTTGAGGAAGTGGAGTGACATCCATGCCGATATGTCGCTTAGTAGGTTAGTAATGTGAGAGGAGGCTGAAGGGGTAAGGTGAGGAGTAGAAAGATAGATTTGTGTGTCATCAGCATAGAGATGGTACTTAAAGCCATTGGAGTTTATCAAGTGACCAAGGGAGGAGGTGTAGATGGAGGAGAGTAGGGGTCCAAGGACGGAACCTTGCGGGACCCCTACAGAAAGAGGGAGTGGAGAGGAGGAGCCAGAGTTATAGGTAACACTGAAGGAGCGCTGCGATAGGTAGGAGGAGAATCAGGAAAGAGCAGAGTCTCGGAGGCCAACAGAGTGGAGTTTTTTGAGGAGGAGGGGATGGTCAACCGTATCAAAAGCCGCAGAGAGGTCAAGTAGTAAGAGTATGGAGTAGTGGTCACTGGCTTTAGCAGTTAGCAGATCATTCATGAGTTTTACTAGGGCAGTTTCAGTGGAGTGGAGTGAGCGAAAGCCAGACTGTAAAGGGTCAAGAAGGTTGTTGTCAGTGAGGTAGGAGCTCAGGTGATTGTAGACTAAGCGTTCTAGGAGTTTAGAGGTAAACGGGAACAGGGAGATGGGTCTTAAGTTGTTTAGGTTGGTGGGATCCAGGGAAGGCTTTTTAAGTATGGGAGTGATGTGTGCATGCTTTAGAGGGGAGGGGAAAGCACCATTAGAGAGGTAGACATTGAAGATGTGATTGAGGGAGCATAGAATGGAAGAAGAGGGTGACCATAGTAGTTGTGAGGGGACAGGATCCAAGGGGCACGTGGTGAGATGGACTTCTGTGAAAACCTTAGTGACCTCTTCAGTAGTAGCAAGGTCAAAAGAGGAAAGTGTTGAGGGTGGTTTAGTATAAGGTATAATAAATGGGATGGATGGATGTCTGTGCAGTGGAGATGCCCCTACGAATTGTTGCTTGTTTCTATTGCCGTGCCCCCCACCCCTGTTCTTAGGCCCTGTGGTTATTGTGCAGTATGGATTCACGTTATTGAAGAGTTACTCACAGGGTTAGTGTGAAGGTTGTATGGGTCATTTTTTAGCGTTTAGATACTCCTTAGGATGCAAGCGTTAGAAAAATTTTAAAGTGATTGTAAACGTCAGACATTAAATATCAACAAAACATATCCCTCTATAGTGTGTAATTATGTGCCTCGTTCCTCTGTTGTAAGCACATGGCATTTCTGACAAGTTTTCCTTACACCAAGAGAAAAATGGTGACAGCCTGTGATTTACAGCCTTAGCTCTGTTCCTGTGTG